GGTCCTGAGGGTCTACCTTCCCGGCCTGAAGGGCTTCTAGAGCTTCGGGGGGGAGGGCTGCTTCCGCTGCTGCGAGGCGTGCAGGCAGGGCGTGCGCGGAGCCGGCGGTGGGGTCCATTAGGGGGAGCAGAGCTGCTACATCAGGGTGAAGTGCTTCGGCCAGGGAGTGCAGGAGGTGGGAGGTGCCCACCACCGACGCAAGGTAAGCGTAACTCCCTTCAACTGCGGGATTTGTAATGCCGAGCCCCCCCAGTGTTACAGGTAGCGCCGCCTGCCTCCAGATTCTCCTCTGCTCCGCGTCACTCCTTGGTAGCATAATGTGGGCCGCGTCCAGGAAGGTATGTAGCAATTGCTCCCCCCATGCCGCCCATTCCTCCTCAGGTAGTACCTCTAGCGGAGTGGTCCTGGCCAGGAAGGAGGCTCGCCGGCCCACACAGCGTGTGAGTAAGAGCAGGCACAATTGGGGGTCCATCTGGGCCAGGAGCGGCAAGGGTTCTGTTGCTGCCGCTAGTCTTTCCCTCACTCTAGAGGCGCAACCAGCGGAGGTCCCGATTGGACTTCCCAATAACCGCAGTCCGTCTGCTGCAATGGGGAAGCTCGGTGGGAGAGAGGCGGGGTCTATGGCAGCTGCAGACCAAGCTTCGCATTTCCCCAAGTTGTGTACGAGGCCTATGCGGAGCAACGCGGCGGTAAGGTGCGTGAATGCCGCGGTGCATGCTTCGGCCTCGCCCAGCAGCGTTATGTCGTCGGCGTAGGCGAGAATGACGACCCGTGGGTGAGCTGAAGCTGTTGCGGTTATGCAAGGGTGGATGCTTGCCGCGAAGAGCAAGGGGCCAAGGGGGTCTCCCTGGCGGACGCCTCTAGCGCTTAGCATTGAGGCCACGCCGAATTCGTGGTCGAGGTGGAGCGCTGATGGAGTTTCGTAGGAGAGGCGGACAAGGGGCAGTAGGTTTTCTAGGGCCTCGTTCTTGAGCCCCTCGAATACCGCCGCCCTTTCCACCGCGTTGAATGCGTTGGCAAGGTCAATCTGCAGCGCCACCGCGCCCGGGTTCTCCTCCAGGTAATTGCGCGCAGTGTGGATAGCCGCCTCGATCCCTCCAGCCACCGCTACCCCGAATTGAAGAGGCGCGAAGTGTGCTCGTGCCGCCGCCCCATTCAGGAACAGTGCTGCTTTGGCGACGATGCGTAGAAGGCATTCGCCCACGGCTATCGGTCGGGTCCCCCCCTGCGGCTTAGTGAAGGCTAGGAGGCGTGAGGCAGTGAGGAGCTCGGTGGCCTCGCTACTAAGTTTCCCAGCTATAGCGGTATTGGTGAGTGCGAGAAGGTGAGCAAAGATGTCGGGATTTCCAAGCGCGGCATCCCGAATGTGCTCGAAGGTAGTTCCTGAGGGCCGTGCTCCCACCCCATTGGGGAGCTTGGCGATGATGCGCCTGAAGTCGCGTGGCTCAATCGCAAGGGTGTGCTCGGGGGAGAAGGTGCGTATCCACTCAGGTAGGGACTAGAGTGCTTGCGGGTGTCTTGCTGCTAACGCCGCGTACACTTCGGGGGAGGCAGGTGAGACCGGGGTGGCTTGGAGGGACTGGAGTGACTTGGCGAGGTTGCCACGCTTGGCCAGTCCCTCCGCTCTGGCAAGGATGCCCTGCGTGTCAGGTACGTGACGTGGCTGGGCTGGGAGGGAGATTGCTTCCACCGCCTCGTCATACAGGCCAGACCAGAATCCCTGGCGAAAACGGAGGAGGCGGTTCATCATCGCGCTCCAGTCAGGTTTGCGAGCTGACGAGGTGCGGAGGAGAATTCGCGGTAGGAAAGTCAGTAACCTCCACCTTGCGGCCGAGTTGGGATTGGCTGCCAGGTGGAGGAGTGGGGTAAGAAGGCAAACTGCGAACGATTCGCGAAGGTCTTTTGGCGGGTGACGGGCGAGGGGCGGCTGGCGACTGTCGCGCAGTGGGTCAAGGTCCCAGCCTGCAACCTGCGCGAAAAGGTCCAGGCGTTTCGCCAGGTCGCCTGGGTGGATCATGGGTGGGGTTGGGGTTGGGGTTGCAGTGTTCCCATTGGCTGCAGCAGAGTCAAATGTGATTGCTGCCGCGGTTCGGTTTCCCCTCCATGCTTGATTTCCCCCCGCATTTCGATTCCTGGCAGGCGTTCGAGTTGCAGACGCGGCTCCAATTTGTTGGTCCGGAAACTCGGCCCCACGAACCAAGAACTCCTCCTCTTCTTCAGTTTCAGCATCCAAACCTCCCTCCGTTTCAGGGTTAAAACCGGGGTCACCCCCGTCACTCTCGTCATTCTCCGATTCACCGCTCCCTTCCCTGCTAGCGGCTTCCTCGCCGCCTTCTACGCTCTCCCTGAGTAATCTTTCTGCCGTCCTCGCATAGCTGCTCGCGCCTGTACGTCGGCCACTTCCCCTGCCTGTTCCTCCTCCTCGTCGTCCTCTCCTGCTTCCGCGCCGTCCGCCAGGAGTGCCGCTCCCCGCCATTGGGGTGCGCCTTGCAGGCGTGCGGTTTTCACCGATCTCCTCCCCCGCCAAGCGAGGCTCTGGCGTCCTCGGCTCACGCCTTGGTCGTGATGGCGGGGTCCGTGGGTCGCGACCGCGCCTTGGAGGCAAGCGCGGAGAGCGCTCAGCTCGTTGCGCAGCCGAACCCAGAGCCTGCGCCTCCGCGTCCCCAATTGCAAGCCCGTCCTGCTGCGTCGGCGCCCGTGCGCCGTCTCGAGCGTGGGTTGTCTCTTCTGTCGCGATATATATTTTATATATGTTTATAACTGCCTGTAGATTTAGCTTTAGTGTAGTTATGCCTTCTTGCATTGGTGGTGCACCTTCTCTTTGTTCATTTTGCTATATGTACCTTGTGTGCTATAGTGAAACCAACACATTCTCGACATTTCTCTCTTGGCACAACTCACTCGACACTTGTGGCCTAGGCTCCTAAGCCTAGGCCCTAGCTAAACCCGGTTCCTAAGTTAAGTTAGTCTTGTAACATGGTATCGAGCTACTAAGATCCTAGGCCTAAGTTAATGGGCCCACTGTTGGCGTTGTGCACGCAGTTAGTAATGGCGCCCCTGCTGGCGCCGTCCACGCAGCTGCTGGCTCGCGAGTTCTGCAGCAGCTGCGCGATTGATTCTGCTACCGTGCGACTCTGCAGCGCCTGCGCTCCTCGCTCTGCCCGTCTCATCGCTCGTCACTCTGCCCGTCGTGTCGCTCCGTCGCGGCAGAGAGGAGAAAGAGGGGGAAGGGTGTGGCAGCGGACCGCTAGCAACGACCGCCAGCGTCGGCGCCAGCGCCAGCGACGACCGCTGCTGCCAGCGTCATCTCCAGCGGCGGTCGCCTGCACCATCGCCAACCACGCTCCCCGTCCGCACCCTGTTTGCGCATCCTGTCCGCATCCCACCCGCCCTCCCGTCGACTTCGCAGCTGCTGTGAAGGGAGTGGCGGGAGTGGCGAGAGAAGCTACGCCATTCACCTGCTCGCGCCAGACCGCTCGCACCCTGCCGCCCGCACGCACTTCACCGCCCGTTTCCGTCCCGCTCGCTCGAAGGCCCCACGAGCCCTGCTCGTCACCCAACGCTGCGGCTGGTCGCGTGTGCAGCGACGGTCGCGGTTGGGGGAGGGGGGGGGGGAGAGAGAGAGGGAAACGTGAAGGGCGTGGCGGCGGACCGCCAGCCAACTCGCCAACCGTCCGCGCATATCCCCCGTTCTCCCGTCAGAACCCGCACCCAGCGACCATCCCGTCGTCCCGCCTCGTCCTTGCCCCACCGTCAGATCCCGCCCCCCCCCACCGTCAGATCCCGCGCCTTTTCCATAGGAGGGGGAGTGGCGGGGTTGGCGGTTCATGGGGGGGGTGGGGAAGGGGGGGGGGGGGGGGGGGGTGGTGGGCGGATGTCACCAGGAACCAGAACCAGCACCAGCGCCAGCCGCCAGCACCAGGCACCAGCACCAGCACCAGCGCCAGCACCAGGAACCAGCACCAGCGCCAGCCGCCAGCACCAGGAACCAGCGCCAGCGCCAGCCGCCAGCCCCAGGAACCAGCACCAGCGCCAGCCGCCAGCACCAGGAACCAGCACCAGCGCCAGCCGCCAGCACCAGGAACCAGCACCAGCGCCAGCACCAGGAACCAGCACCAGCACCAGCGCCAGCACCAGGAACCAGCACCAGCGCCAGCCGCCAGCCCCAGGAACCAGCACCAGCACCAGCGCCAGCACCAGGAACCAGCACCAGCACCAGCGCCATCACCAGGAACCAGCACCAGCGCCAGAGGGGTTGAGTGGGCGGGTAAGGGGGTGGAAGAAGTAAGTCGGGAATTTGCAGCCGTTGCCTGTAGCAGGCACGCCCCCGGAGGTGCTGAGCGGTGCTGTCCAGCTGCTCGTTGCAGCCACAGCGCCTGCTCTCACGCCCACCTGCCGGGTCCTGCACCTGTCGCTGCTGCATCTGCCGTGGCTGAGGTCACTGTGGCCCTATCTGCCATCACTGCACCTGCTGCCTGTAGCAGGCACGCCCCCGGAGGTGCTGAGCCGCGCTGTCCAGCTGCTCGTTGCAGCCACGGCGCTTGCCCTCACGCCCACCTCTCGGGTCCTGCACCTGCCGTTGTTGCATTTATCATGGCTGGTCTGTGTTGCTGTTTCCTCTGCTTCTCCTACCTCTTGCCCAGGTTCAGGGGGTGTGACTTGCTCGAGTTATGTGCTGCAGGCAGTTAAGGGGGTGTGTCGCGATATATATTTTATATATGTTTATAACTGCCTGTAGATTTAGCTTTAGTGTAGTTATGCCTTCTTGCATTGGTGGTGCACCTTCTCTTTGTTCATTTTGCTATATGTACCTTGTGTGCTATAGTGAAACCAACACATTCTCGACATTTCTCTCTTGGCACAACTCACTCGACACTTGTGGCCTAGGCTCCTAAGCCTAGGCCCTAGCTAAACCCGGTTCCTAAGTTAAGTTAGTCTCGTAACATCTTCCGCTGCGCGGGGGGGATCGTCACGCGTCTCCCGAGCAATCCCGCGCTCCCTTACTCGTCGCGTCGAATGCCGAGCCGGCGCGTCAGGAGCGGGGTCGGTCCCCGCAGCGTCGAGGATCTCGACCCGCGTCCCCTGCGTGCATGAGTCGCGGCGGCGGTGGGAGGATTATCAGCGGGATCTTCAGCGCCGCGACCGCCGCTACCGCTCTCCTCAGAGGTCGCCGGAAAAACGCTCCCCGCGGCAGCGGTCCCCCCATCAGCGGTCGCCGCGGCCGTCACCTCCGCGTCGGGGCCGCGGGGCTCACGCGGGCCGTTGGGAGTCTCGTCGCAGGGAGCCCTCCCCGCCCCGTCCTCAGTCGGCTGGCTCTGGCGGACGTCGTGGGCGGAGGAATAGTTCTGCGCGCGGGGGTAGTCGCGGCCAAGGCTCCGCGGCTGACCGCGCGGGGAATATGGTGGCGGATGCAGTGCGGGAGGTTCAAGCGGGGGGGGCAGCGGCTCATATTCATGTGTCTGTGACCACAGAGCCCCCCACCGCCCCTGTTGCGAATGACGCAGCTCAGCTGCGCCCGCCGACCTTGCGGGAGTATCTGCCAACTGCAGCGGCGAGGGGGCCGTTCTGCGGTCGCCGCCAAGCCCCAGGTTACCCCGCTCTTCAGAATTCAATTGGCCAGGCTCCGGGCCAGATGGCGACGTTTCTGCCGCGCGGAGTGCCGACTGCACCTCTCCCCAGCCGCGCGGGGAGAGACCCCACGCTGAGCATGTGCCGGATGTGGAATTTGGCGGGGGCGGCAGAGGGGGTGGCGAGCCTGCAGCTGGCGGCGTGTGAGGCCATGCGTCACACACCGAGCAGTTTTGCTCAAGTGCCCCAAGGACAGTGCGTCGCTTGGGCAGGAGAGATTGTCCCCCTTTTAGCGCCCGTGTCGGATGCGCCCGCCGGGGTAGCACCCTTAGCCCGTACCTTCCCCTGCCTCGCTCTTGATCTTCACGCGGCTGCGCAGAGCGGGACCCCTGTTGACACTCTTCGCTTCTCGGCGGAGCTTCTCCATGCGATGGCGGGGTGCCTTCTCGCGATGCTTGAGGCGGAGGGGGCTGGCCTGTACACGCAGTAGAACGGCGTCTCGTGTAGTATTGCATCTTGATTGTTTGGTGATGCTCTCCAGTTGCCTGTCTCTCCTCTGTTGGATATGCCGTGCTTGGTAATCTCCCTATTTGTGTGTCTTGCCACCGAAACGCGAGCCGTCGAAAACTGAGAACACACGAAATAATGAGTAGGAGAAGGCACCAAGGGCCCTTAAACAGGCTCAGAGGAAGAGGGCAGAGGGCAGAGGAAGAGGGCTGAGTGCTAAGGCCTTCTCTCTCTCTCTCTCTCTCAAGCGGTCCGTGTATTAGATCCAAGCAAATACAGACATGCAAAGGATAGAGATGCTACTCATACAAATCATCTTCTAACCCACACATCCCACTCACCCCCCTCCCCCTCTGCTCCGTCTAAGGGAGCTCCAGCACCGGCTCTAAGATGGCCAGGCAGTCCCCAAGGGACATGCCCTCGCCTGGCATCTCCGCAGGTGGGTTCTCCACCTGTGCCGCGTAGTTGCATTTCTCCATAAAGCTCACCGACTGAGCACGCTGCAGCGCCACGGACCACCTCTGGCGGAACTGGTGCAGCAGCTTCGTAGCCTGGTAGGATGAGGGGGCCGCGTTGAAGAGCCTGCGGGCGGCGGTCTCTCTCTCTCTCTCTCTCTCTCTCTCTCTCTCTCTCTCTCTCTCTCTCTCTCTCTCTCCCTCCCTCCCTCTCTCCCTCCCTCCCTCCCTCCCTCCCTCCCTCCCTCCCTCCCTCCCTCCCTCCCTCCCTCCCTCCCTCCCTCCCTCCCTCCCTCCCTCCCTCCCTCCCTCCCTCCCTCCCTCCCTCCCTCCCTCCCTCCCTCCCTCCCTCCCTCCCTCCCTCCCTCCCTCCCTCCCTCCCTCCCTCCCTCCCTCCCTCCCTCCCTCCCTCCCTCCCTCCCTCCCTCCCTCCCTCCCTCCCTCCCTCCCTCCCTCCCTCCCTCCCTCCCTCCCTCCCTCCCTCCCTCCCTCCCTCCCTCCCTCCCTCCCTCCCTCCCTCAAGCGGTCCGTGTATTAGATCCAAGCAAATACAGACATGCAAAGGATAGAGATGCTATTCATACAAATCATCTTCTAACCCACACATCCCACTCACCCCCCTCCCCCTCTGCTCCGTCTAAGGGAGCTCCAGCACCGGCTCTAAGATGGCCAGGCAGTCCCCAAGGGACATGCCCTCGCCTGGCATCTCCGCAGGTGGGTTCTCCACCTGTGCCGCGTAGTTGCATTTCTCCATAAAGCTCACCGACTGAGCACGCTGCAGCGCCACGGACCACCTCTGGCGGAACTGGTGCAGTAGCTTCATAGCCTGGTAGGATGAGGGGGCCGCGTTGAAGAGCCTGCGGGCGGCGGTCTCGGCTAACAGCTTGAAGAATTGGGGCACTTCCTCGCAAGGGCAGCCGTAGGTGTCAACGGCGAGTGGGAAGAATCCGACCCACGAAGCCGTTGAGCCTTCGTAGTCGGAGATCTTCTTCTCCGCCGCTTCACGGGCTGCCCACCCCCTGCCCTTGACTGCGTTGGGGTCACGGGTGCTGATGGGGTCCGTGATTGTCACGTCCCCAATCCAAACCGCCCCCGAGGACTTGTCCTTTGTATTGATTCAGCAGGGGTACAAACATGCAGTGCTATCCATGGTAATCTTCATCCCTTAAGCCCCTTAACTCACCCCTCTTTCCCCCCCCCCCTGAGTGACCCTCTAGCCCTCCAGCGTGTGGAGGATGTCCCTCAGGTGCAGCGGCCAGGGGTCTGCTGCCATTTGGGGGTGTGCTGCCTCGATCCCAGCCCTGGCCTTGGTGTGCAGGGCATTCGCCTGGGAGCGCTGGAGGGCCACTGACCAGCGTTGGCTGAAGTGGCAGGCCATCTTCTTGGCCGATTTGGCCAAGGGGTTGGCCCTGAACCTGTTCCTAGCCGCTGCTGTGGCCAGCAGCTTAAGGAACGCTGTCGTGGGGGGCGCGTTTGCCCCGTAGGTCTCGACGGCCAGGGCGCAGAACACCACGTGTTCGGTGTGCCTGTAGTAGTCCCTCTCCTTCAGCCTCTGTGCCTCCCTTGCAGCCCAGCCTGGGGGTTTGCGGGCTGTCGGGTCTCGGTTCTGCAGCACAGGGTCAGTGATAGTAGTGTCTGTGATCCAAGTCTCTCCACCGTCCGGGTCGCGTACAATCACATTTGCCTTCTTCGGGTCATCGAGTAGTGAGTACATTGCATTCTCCAGGTATACCACCAGCTGCGCCTCCCTCGCCATTTTAGCCACGGCGAAAGCCAGTTGGTTGTGTGTGCGCGTTCTGTCCGGGCCTGTGCTGCAGCGGAGTAAGTGGTTGGGTAGGCTGCAGTCGGCCACGAGCTCTCCACACTCGCACACAGCAGGTACATTCTGTCGGATGCCCATGCGGAAGGCCAGGGCTGTTCGAAATTGCCCTGGTGAGAAGCAGAGGTCTGTGTCAGGGGTAGGGCTTGCAGCCATGCTCCCGCTCCCTCGCCTCTGAGGCTGACGAGGCGGAGCGTGTGGCCCATCTCGGGGGCTGACCTGATTAAGCGTGATTCCTCTGTCAGGGCATCGGCCTTTGCCGCGTGCACCTCCTGAGAGAGGGCGCGCTGAAGCTGGTCTTGGGACGGGGTTTCTTGCTCCTCACGGAGGTGTTGCAGCGCCAGCGGCGGCAGTCGTCCCTCCATATCTTGGATGGTGACCGAGTGTGCTGCAGACGGCTGCAGGGCGTTGCTGTTGCTCCCCAGCGCCGCGGTTGCTGGTAGGTCAAGTGAGCGGAGCAGGCGTAGCGCCTCTGTCGTTGAGGCCAGGTAGGCCGGAGCTGCTTCTGTTGTGGGGTCCGTGAGGCCCAGTCCGCCTAGGGCTACTGGGAGGGTTGCTTGGCGGATGAGGAAATTGAACTCGGCTTCGCGGCGGGGTGGTTGAATGCTGGCGGCAGTCAAGGCGGTGTTGAGCAGTTCGGCGCACCACGCATGCCATTCCGAGAGGGAAGGACATCTGCTGGGGTGGTGCGCAGCAGGTAGCCGATGTCTGTCAGAGTGCTGCGGACTAGGTCAGAGCAGAAGCGCTGTGACCCTACTGGGCTTCCCAGCACCCGTACCCCCTCGTGGGTGAGGGGGAGGCCCTCAGGGAGCTCGTCACCTTCAAGCGGCGTCGTGGACCACGCCGACGACTTTCTGAGGTTGCAGGTGAGGCCATCCTGGGCTAGCAGCAGCGTCAGCAACCTTAGCGCGCCCAGCGTTGCTGTCGCCGGTCCGATCATGGTGATGTCATCTGCGTACGCTAGGATCGTGACTTCTGGGTGCTCTGTTGCTGTGCGTCTGAGGTGCTGCTGGATAGATGCCGCGAACAGCAGGGGTCCGAGGGGGTCCCCCTGCCTAACTCCCCTTCCGCTGGTGAGTGTCGTTGTGCTCAAGCGTGGATCGGTCAGCAGCTGTGAAGGCGTTGCGTAGAAGGAGCGGGTGAAAGGTATGAGCGGTGCTAACGGGGTGTTGGTGAGTGCGTTGAAGAACGCTTTCCTCTCTACGGAGTTGAATGCGTTTTCAATGTCGAGTTGGAGGACTAGGCTGGAAGGTTGTGAAGTGGTGAGGTCTCTGACGGCGTGTATAACGAACTCGGCTCCGCCTGGGACTGCCACGCCGAATTGCTGGGGTAAGAAAAATCGCCTTGTTTCTCCTTGTAGTTCCGAAAGTGCCACCTTTGCTGCTAGCCGAAGCAGGGACTCCCCTATCGCGATAGGGCGTACCCCCCCCCCTGGTTTCGCGAAGGCGATGAGGCGGGATGGCGAGAGTAGTGCTGCAACCTCGGTGGAGAGGTTTGTCGAGAGAAGGTGGGTTACGGCTGAGTGCAGGTGCCCCAGCACTTCGATGTTACTTAGGGCTGGGTCGCGGTAGTGTTCAAATGTTGACCCCGATGGGCCAGCCCCAACTCCGCTGGGGCATTCCCCGAGGACGTATGAGAAACGTTCCGCTGTGCACGAGAATTGCGTGGGTGTTGTGTAGTTGTGGACCCAGTCGGGCAGCTCAAGTTGGGGTTGGGGATGTTTCAATTCCAACTGCTGCAAAGTTGCGATCGTCGCAGGGGCAGCTGGCGAGGGTTGAAGGGCTGCCAACGCTTTTCGCAGGTTACCCCGTTTCACCAACCCCTCCACACGTGAGCAGATTCCCAGGGGGTCATTTTGGTGCTGAGGTGGCTCAGCTTGGTGCAGGGACCCCACGTAGTCACTGTACAGCTGGTTCCAGTGGCCACATCTCTCTCTCTCTCTCTCTCTCTCTCTCTCTCTCTCTCTCTCTCTCTCTCTCTCTCTCTCTCTCTCTCAAGCGGTCCGTGTATTAGATCCAAGCAAGTACAGACATGCAAAGGATAGCGATGCATCTCATACAATTCATCCTCTAACCCCCATATCCCACTCACCCCCCCCCCCCCCCTTCTGCTCCGTCTAAGGGAGCTCCAGCACCGGCTCTAAGATGGCCAGGCAGTCCCCAAGGGACATGCCATCGCCTGGCATCTCCGCAGGTGGGTTCTCCACCTGTGCCGCGTAGTTGCACTTCTCCATAAAGCTCACTGACTGGGCCCGCTGCAGTGCCACGGACCACCTCTGGCGGAACTGGTGCAGCAGCTTCGTAGCCTGGTAGGATGAGGGGGCCGCGTTGAAGAGCCTGCGGGCGGCGGTGTCGGCTAGCAGCTTGAAGAATTGGGGGACTTCTGCGCAAGGGCAGCCGTAAGTGTCAACAGTGAGAGGGAAGAATCCGACCCACGAGGCCGTTGAGCCCTCGTAGTCGGAGATCTTCTTCTCTGCTGCTTCACGGGCTGCCCACCCCCTGCCCTTGACTGCGTTGGGGTCACGAGTGCTGATGGGATCCGTGATGGTCACGTCCCCAATCCAAACCGCCCCCGAGGACTTGTCCCTGATTGCTATATCTGCCTTCTTCCTAGTGACGGGGCAGAATGCAGTTGTCTCTCCGTGAGTCATGAAGTCCGCGTCGTTGGCCATCCGTAAGCACTCATCCCGCAGCTCGTTATGAGTGTTAGTCCTCCCCTTCCCTGTGTCACAGCGCAGGAGGTGGTTGGGCAGCCGCCGGTCTGTGATTGCCGTGTTGTTGCGGCAGTCACAAGCCCCAGGTGCAGAGGAGGGGAGCCCCATTCGGAACTGCAGTGCGTGGGCAAAGTGATCTGGAGCCAGGCGCAGTGATTTGTTAAAGGGGACCGCGTTGAGCCAGTCCCCTGCCCCATACCCCGAGAGGGAGAGCATACGCTGCGTGTGCCCGCTTAGGGGGTTGAGCGGCATGTCGCGCGTGGTTTGGACCTGCTCGGCGTAGCGGCGTCCGTGGACCGCGATTGCCAGCCCATGCTGCAGCTTGATGCCTTTGGGTTCGGCGCGGTCGCTCTGCAGCAGCTCCTTCCCGTCCTCCGGCAGCATCTCCTCGCACCTCTCCAACCAGTCAAACAGCGCGGGGACGTGTTGAGGTAGGGTCCCGCCATCTGGATCCGTGTTTCCGCCAAGGCACCGACCGCCGCCTCGTCAATGGAGGTGAGTAAATGTTGTGCCTGTGTGTAGCTCGCCAGGAACCCAACGCGGCCTTCCACCGACGGGCCAGCCAGTCCCAAGCCTCCAAGAGAGATCGGGAGTGAGGCTTGGGCCCAGGTGCGTGCTATCTCAGCCTCCCCTCTTGGGTGTCGAATGCCGCAAGCCGTCAGCAGTGTGTCAAACAATCCCTTGCCCCAGTCCGACCATTCCTCCACTGGCAGGGGAGAGAGCGGTGTGGTGCGCGCGACATAGGAGACTCGTCGCGAGATGCATCTGGTAAGTAAGAGGGACGCCAGCTGTGGCTCCATCCTCGCGATTAAGCGAAGTGGGGCTCCCATTGCGTCAAGGCTGTCGCGCAGGAACGCTGCGGTTGCGTCGTTTCCGCCGACGAAGCTGCCCAGCACCTTCACGCCATCATCACTGTAAGGTACGCCTTGCGGCAGTGGTGCTGACTGACGGCCCGCCTGTGACCATGCCGCACACTTAGCAGGGTTGTGTTGCAGCCCAATCTCCCCGAGGCTTCCCGTGAAGTGTTCAAACGCAGCCGCACAAGCTGTTGCTTCTCCAAGAAAAGTGACGTCGTCCGCGTAAGCAAGGCATACCACGGACGGGAAGGTAAGTGCCGTGCTCGTCAACGCGGGGTGAATGGCGGCAGCGAACAGCAAGGGGCCGAGGGGATCTCCCTGCCTCACTCCGATTTCGCTCAAGAGTGGTGGGTGCGAGAAACCGGCATCCAGGCATAGTGAAGAGGGATGGCCGTATGACAGTTTCACGAGTGGCAGTAGTGGAGCTAGCGTCGATCCCCGAAGCGACTCCGCGATAGCTCCTCGGCTAACACTATTGAAAGCGTTCGCCAGATCGGCCTGCAGGACGAGCGCTCCAGGGTTGACGGTAAGAAAGGTTCGCGTGATGTGGATGATCGCCTCCGCTCCCCCCGGTACCGCTACACCAAACTGCTGGGGTAAGAAAAACTCTCGGGCGGCGCCCGCCGTCAAAATAAGGGCTGTTTTGGCGGCGAGGCGGGTGAGGCTTTCGCCGATGGCTATCGGCCTCGTCCCCCCTCCTGGTTTGGTAAGGGCAATCAGGCGCGAGGCGGTGAGGAGTTCGGCTACTGCGAGAGGTAATTTTCCTGTGAGTATCGTGTTGACTAGCGCATGCAGGTGCTTCCCCACTGAGGCGTTGATCAGAGTTGCGTCCCGCAGGTGTTCGAACGTTGTTCCTGATGGCCCAGCTCCTACTCCCATCTCACACCGTCCCAAAACCTTGGAGAAGACCTCGTAAGGCGCCGAGAGGAGAGGGTCTGGTGTGGGAAATATCCAGTCAGGAGGGGAGGCTGGCGCAGGTGGGTGCTTGGCGCGTAGTGCCTCCAGCACGGCCGGCGAAGGTGTGCAAACTGGCGTGGCCTCTAAGGCCATTACGGCCCGTCGTAGGCTGCCACGTCGAGCTAGCCCCTCAGCTCTCGCGATGACCCCGATGTCATCTGGCTGGTGTCTGGGTGGCTGGGGACAGGTCAGTGAGTCCACGGTGTCCTTGTACAGCTCGTCCCAGTCCCCACACATGAATTTGCTAAGTCGTGCGCAGACTGTCTTCCAATCTGGACGCCTGGTTGACAGCTGGCAAAGTGTGAGTCGAGCGAGGAACAAGAGGACGACCCAAGCAGAGTGTGAGTCTGGATCGTTCGCCAACCGCAGCAAAGGTACCAGCAAGGCGGTGGCGAAAAGTTTGCGAGGGTCGGGTGGGAGGTGGCGGGAGAATGGTGCGTGGCGACTGTCGCGCAATTTCGTCAGGTCCCATGTTCCAACCCCAGCGAATAGCACGTCGTCCTTGGCGAGTGTTTCAGGGGATTTTTCCTCTCGCGCGTGGGTTGGGATGGGGTTACCGCCAGGTACAGATTGCGGGGCGGCTCGGGAATGGGTTGGAGTGTGGGAAATTGGTGGTGGGGGTTGGGGGTTTGCAATGTTGCCCGATGCGGCTCGGGTTGGTGTTGGGGGTCCCCTCCGTGAGGATCTCGCAACTGAGGATCCTCCCGCCATGTGAGTTGGGGCTGCTCTGCTCGCTCTAGCAGGAGTCTGGGTTTGGGGTTCATCCACAGACTCAGAGCTAGAAGTCGAGTCTGTGGATTCCGCAGGTACAAAACTGCTGCCTGATGATGTTTCCTCATTGTCATCTTCCAGCTCGTTTAAAGCCCTCCGTCCCGATTGTTGATACACGTTCTCAGGTCCTCCTCCGCTAGCCCGACCTCCGCGTCCCGCTGCTCTCCGTCCGCCACGTCGACCGCCCGCTGAGCGAGCGACATCCTCCCCGCGCTCCAATGTCTGCTGACGGCGGCCATGGTCGGGAGCGCATCGCGGAGAGCGGTTCAGCTCCCCGTCCGCTCCCCCCCGCGCGTCCCGCTGCGAGCGTGCCCGTTGCTCCGCTGGCATCTGCCGATCAGATACGCCGCCGCTTCGAGGATCTGCGGCGCGATCTGACTCCACGAGTGGGAAAATCCCCGCCGCAGAAGGAGCATGCCCGCCAGGCGTCCGTCGTGCGCTCCGGCGTAGAGGCTGGGGCGCCCCGGGCACGATCGCCTCGCCGTCGGTCGTCTGAGGCGCGCGACGATAGGCAGGGGAGCCGCCGTGGCGGTCGTAACCTCGAGCCGCGGTCGTCACGATCTCCACGCCTGCATCGTTCGCCACGATCGCCTCGTCGCGTCGTATCACGTAGCCGGTCTCGTGACCGCTGATCCCGCCATCACCGTTCGCCCGCTCGTCCTCCCTCTCGCCACCGATCGCCAGCTCACCATTCCTCCCGTCCGCGTTCGCCTCCTCGATCGCCTCGTCCTGCAAAGCGCCAACGGCTCGACTCTCCTCGTCGCAAGGGCCGATCCCCTGAACGCCGCCGTCAGCATGCCTCATCCCGCCCCCAATCGCCCGCGCGTTCGAACGCAAGTGGTCGAGGTCATCGCGGGCGTCGAGGGGGGGGGTATGGACGAGGTGGTTCTGCGCGTCCCGCCCCGTCCGCGATGGATCGTGTGTTGGAGAAGCTTGACGGCGTGGAGAAAGCTCTCCACCGCTCGAATGCTGCCTCGACGTCGCGGTCCATTCCGCCCTCTGGTCCCGTCGCTCCTCTTGCTGCTCTTCTGCCGCACAACCTCGTTGGATCCCCGGCGCGCTCAGATCAGCCGCTGCCTGCGGGAGCTGGATTTGTTGGTGCTGCTGGCGGGGATCCGTGGGCTCCATTTGCTCCGCCACGTCCTCTCCCTGCTCCTCGCGATCGAGCCGTGTCTGCCCGCCGAGCACGATCGTCCGCCTTTCCTCCGCCGATGAAGCAAGTGCCCACGGCGACCCTAGCACGCCTGTGGTCGCTGGCGTAGTGCCTGCAGAGCCTTGGGTTGATCCTTCTGGAGTCCCATGACTCCATGCTCCTTGTGGAGTCCCTTGACTCCATGTCGGTGAACCAGCCGAGCACGTTCTCTCAGAGGCCGCGAGCAAAGTGTCACGCGGCGGCGTCAACACTATTCTCGTATGTCGCATCACTGCCGGTTGCGCCCTCCGCGGTTGTAGCCTCGGCCAACCAGCTGGCTGTGAAGGTCCTGGATCTGAGGACGCTTGTTGCAACGCGTGGAACTCCAGTTGACGTTGTTGGCGCCATCGCGTCAGTGGTCCACCAGATGTGGCTGACCTCGCGCGAAACGCTTGGTGAGCTTGGGGCCGACCGCATGTAGGAGCCCCCTTTGCGCGTGTGTAGACCCGCTCCATTGATTGCTTGCCTAGTTGTCCTTGCTTGTTGTAATTGCTGCTGTTGTCATGTTGAATGCCATTGTTGTTGTCTTCTTGTCGTTCCCTAACGCGCGGCCGTAGGCCGCGCTCGCGAGCGCCGGCGCGAAGCGCCGAAATTTTCAGCACTAACTGAAAGAATGAGGGATGAAGAGGCCACCGTGGCCTTAAGTACTCATGGCAGAGGGTAGAAGGCAGAGGGCAGAGGGTAGAAGGGGGAGAGGCTAATCCTCTCTCTCTCGCTCTCTCGAACGAACGCACCGAAATTTTCAGCACTAACTGAAAGAATGAGGGATGAAGAGGCCACCGTGGCCTTAAGTACTCATGGCAGAGGGTAGAAGGCAGAGGGCAGAGGGTAGAAGGGGGAGAGGCTAATCCTCTCTCTCTCTCTCTCTCTCTCTCTCTCTCTCTCTCTCTCTCTATCTCTCTCTCTCTCTCTCTCTCTCTCTCTCTCTATCTCTCTCTCTCTCTCTCTCTCTCTCTCTCTCTCTCTCTCTCTCTCTCTCTCTCTCTCTCACACACACACACCCGCCCGCCCGCCCGCCCGCCCGCCCGCCCGCCCGCGCCCGCCCGCCCGCCCGCGCGCGCGCGCACGCACGCACGCACAAACAAACAAACGCTCTACGTCCCCCCTACCCCCCCACCGCCCCCCCCCTTCCCCCCTGCCCGCCCTCACGATCGTGCAGGGTCCGGTGTGGGTGGAGGCGAGGGCCAGCTGTGCGCACATACACGCCATCACCACCCTGGGAGACCTGCCCTCCGCGCACGCGCTCTGCAAGCAGTATGCCTCCACCCCTCTCCCCCTACCCGTCCCCTCGTTCTATCCTGCACTGCTCCAGCTCCGCCTGTCTCCCCTGCACCCCCCCCTCCCCCGTTCACTGTGCTCTGCTTCCCTCGTTGTCGTGCTTTTCCCGCGGTTTGCTTTCTCCCCCATACATTTGGGATAAGGATGTGACCAGGCTTACCACTGAAGGACAGACCGTGCCAGGAGTGCAAGGAAGGGGGCTGGCAGGATGAGTGTGGTGGCGGCAGCACACTGGGCAGTGGCAGTCATAGCACACGGTCACGCACTGTGCAAACACACCCCACCGCCCCACATCCCCACCACACACCCGCACCATGCAAGTCGCTGGTGTCCCCTGCCGCTGTGCCCCTTGGTGCACAGGTGCGGGAGTGCGGCAGACAACTGGGTGTGTCTGTCGTGTGGCGAGGTGGCGTGCGGGCGGTCAGAGGGCGCTCATATGGTGAAGCACTTCCACGCCACAGGCCACCCTGTGGCTGCTGGCTTCAGGTGCACGCTGGCACACGCGCACGTGCATGGGGCTGACATGCACATGATCCATCATCACTGCTTTCATGCGCTCACTCTGCACAATGCTGTTTCTCTCATCCCTCTCTCTCCCCTCTTCCTCGTTTCTGGCAAACGCTTAACTACTCGCTCATCCTTCACTCTCCCCTCCACCCCCCCCCTCACCCCCCACAACCCCCCCCCTTCCCCTCCCCCCGTGCCGTACAACGCATGTGGTGCGAGCAGGGATTCGTCTGTGTGGTGTTTCCAGTGCGACTCCTACCTGGACGCCTTGAGAATACCATCCCTCCGCCCTCTCTTCCACTCCCTCTATCGCTCCAAGTCTGGTCAATACTCCGACCTGCCCCTGCACTCGCACGCCCATTCACCCACCTCCGCCTCAGCCTCGGCCACAGCATCTCTAAGTTAGAAGCAGTACGTGTGCCTGTGCATAAAATCCTTGCCAGTTTGGCGCTCGCTGCTGCCAGCCCTCTGGCGTCCCAGAAACATGTGCCGTGGACTTAGCTTCGAAAAGGGCTTGGAAAGGAATAGAGTTTGAATCCCAGCCCAGGGCTGTTTGTACCGTCATCGTTCCGATACCGTATATTTAATTTTATTAAAGCAAGGGTGCACTTTGGGGGGGGTTGTCTCAAAGGTTTATCACTTGCCTCCCCTTCCCCCGTCTGTTCCCCCAACCCAACTGGCCGACGAATTTGATTGTGTTCGCCAGCACATTCTCCAACCCTAGCTCCAGTGTTTCGTATGGTTGGACTCTTCGCCAACCATTCGTAGCACCCTAGAGGGTGTACCAAACAAATACACCCGAAAACCACCCCTAGGAATGTGCACCCTTTGTCGGAATAGCAGGCACGAGCTAGAAACAGGAAAGAGTGGTTTTCACTAGCAGCAGTTGAGATACATATAGGAAACCCTAATTGGGTTGTACTCGCTATAGAGTACCCCACTGCAGGCTAGACAAACATCGACATTCTGACACACCCCCATAGTCAAAGTGGGGTACAATCAACACAACAAGCAGGCAGTGCAATAGTTCACAAGGATAAGCAAAGCTAGAGGCTATCACAGAGGGCAAGTGAGGAGGAGGAGAAACTATGGAGGACGAGAAGATGAGAGGCGACGGCAGAAGGTGCAGACACACGGGCAACAGGAGTGCGCAGCACTGACGCTACCAGGCTAAACCCGGGCTACACGGCGACAGGCGCAGCTGGCTCACTGTGCTCCCAGGAGTGCTCACACTGTGGCTACCGGGCGCAGAGCCCCGGACTACACGGCCACAGGGGGTCGTGGCTCTCTAGACTACCAGGAGTGCTCACACTGTGGCTACCGGGCGCAGAGCCCCGGACTACACGGCCACAGGGGGTCGTGGCTCTCTGGACTTCAGGCGCTGCGGACGACAAGTCGGCTACCTCCGGTCAACCTCCCCCAACTGTCCCACACCCCTTTCACACACCCCCTGCTGAACCACTAGCACCGCTCACACGCCACCCCCCTCGTACCACTCCGACGGCTCCAACACATCCACCCCCCTCAGCGGCAGCTGCAGCAGTGGGAGACGGAGGAGGAGGAGGAGCAGGGGACGGCTCACACACACGGCACCCCCATACTCTCCACTTCCAAACCCTAACACAGGAGTGCGGTCAGAAGCTCGGGGGACGGCGTGCGGCACTGGGGCAGACGGTACGGGCCGCTCACGGGCCTGGCGCAGGCCGGACGAACCGCGCGCGGGCTGCCCGAGCCGCGCGCGGGCCTGGCGCAGCCCGTACGGGCCGCGCGCGGGCCTGGCGCAGGCCGTACGGGCCGCGCGCGGGCTGTACGGGCCGCGCGCAGGCCTGGCGCAGCCCGTACGAGCCGCGCACGGGCCTGGCGCAGGCCGTACGGGCCGCGCGCGGGCCTGGCGCAGGCCGTACGGGCTGCGCGCGGGCTATACGGGCCGCGCGCGGGCCTGGCGCAGGTCGCGCGGGCCGCTACGGGCGACGGGGGGCGACGCGCGGGTCCCCGGGGGCGCTGCGACGGGCGACGGGGGGCGACGCGCGGATCGACGGGGCAGAAAACCGCCGCGCGCCTCGGGGCGCACGGCGGGCAGAAAACCGGAAAGCAGGCACAAGCTAGAAACAGGAAAGAGTGGTTTTCACTAGCAGCAGTTGAGATACATATAGGAAACCCTAATTGGGTTGTACTCGCTATAGAGTACCCTACTGCAGGCTAGACAAACATCGACATTCTGACACCCTTGCTTGGTATCTTAAGATTATTATGAGTTGTAATGAAAAGAGTGTGCATGATTCAATAACGCGGAAGTGATAACAACTACTGAGCAAATAATGAGACATAGCACTGATATAGCGAAGGCTAGCTAGGCCGAGGTCGCGGGACTGCGCATGGTCGGGTGCAGGTTCGGGGTTGGGAAGTCCGAAGGCGACGCAAGGGACGTTCGGAGGGCGAGGTCATCGGACCGAGCCTGGAACTCCGAAAGTTGGAGTTGTACGCGTATGGAGTGCCTCAGTAAGGAATTAGGCAAAATTCCTTACACTGTCAATATCAGGCACGCGTCGGCGGGAAAGGTAATCCCGTAGTACCGAATGGCCTTGCAGCGAGTCGGACGTGACCCACGTGTCATCTTCACTTGTGCGATCAACCCATCGCAGGAGGAAATCGACCAGGCGTTTTGCCGGTGTCGCACGCACGCGATGAGCCAGAATCTTCCCAGGCTGAAGTGTCGGGTCTGCCACAGGCCGAACACTTGGCGCGATGTTGGGGCGGGCGATATCCGACGACTGCGGAGCCACGTAATGGCGGAGCATAGTGACGTAGAAGGCGTCGTGAAATTTGCGGTCATCCGGTAATAGGTAGCAGCTTCGTCGTGACAGGTGTTAACATCCGAATGATGCGAATGGGTCCCACGTAGCGGGGACACAATTTTGCGGGTTGGGGCAGTCGAAGATTCTTCGTGTCCAGAAGGACCATCTTGCCGTCGCTGAAGGGGCGTAGCGGCTAGCAACAGTGTTGGCTATTCGAATAAAGCCTGCTGCTTTGTCGCGGGCTGCTTGAAGTTCCGATACAAATTGTTGGGATCGTGGTACCGGATTGTCGGGGGTAGTTGAAGCGGGGTCTATCCCGTAATTGAGGTAGAACGGCGACTGATTGGTTGTCGCGGAGGGTGCGTTGTTATACGCAAACACCAGCATCGGGAGTAGATCCTCCCACTTGGTAAAGTCAGGGCAGTTCGTGCAAATCAGCTGCTCCATGGTTTGGTTTGTCCGCTCTGTCTGACCGTCGGTTTCCGGGTGGTATGACGACGAAAACTGCAGGCGGGTGCCGTACTGTGCCCACGTATCCTGCCAGAACTTCGACGTCAATTTCGGATCCCGATCGCTGATGATCGCCGATGGTAATCCGTGTAGGCGTACGACGGTTAAGATGAACAGCTTCGCAGTTTCTTCGGCTGTGATCGTCGTGTGGCATGGTGCGAAATGCGCCATTTTTGTTAAACGGTCAACGACGACCAGCACCGAGTCGTTGCCACTTGCGCCAACGGGCAGTCCCGTGACGAAATCCATCGTCACCTGTTGCCACGGTCGTTTGGGTGGCTCAAGGGGCTGTAGCAATCCAGCTGGGCGTTGTCGCGGCGACTTCATAGCTTGGCAGGTCGGGCAAGCTGTCACGTAGCGCTGCACGTCCGACGCCATGTCGGGTCAATAATAATTCCGGTGCAGCAGCTTCAGTGTTTTGTCGATGCCGAAATGCCCGGAGAGGTTAGAGTCATGAACCTCCTGCGTCAGCAACTCTCGGCGGCTCGGGCGGATCGGGCGGCTCGGCGGTACGGCGGCTCGGCAGCAACTGCGGCTCGGCGACTCGGCGGCTCGGGCGGCTCGGGCGGTGCTGAGCCTGGAGGTTCTCCGGGTGCTTCGTCTCGGCGGGAGCCACTCTCTCCACAGGAGCTGCGAGAGTGGTTTGCCCGGCGCTGGAGGCGTGCTGCTGGAGCTGGAGGTTCTTCGGCTGCTGAGGGTGCTGGTGCCGCGGGTCCCGGAGGTGCTCGTACTGGGAGTACTGGAGCTGCTGGGCCTGCGGGTACGACTGGAGCTGGAGCTGCTGAGGGTGTTGGCGCTGAGGCTACTGCTGTCGGTCCTGGAGGCGGTCCTGCTGGGGGTGCTACTGGTGCTGCTGGAGGTACTGGAGCTGGAGGTGTTGCTGGCGCTGGTGCTGCCGCTGGGGGTACTGGTGCTGTCCCTGCTGTGTCTGGAGTCGCCGCGCGGCCTCGGCCGTACTTCGTTCCGCTCCTTCAGCAGGTTCTTGGTCTCCCGCCTTCTACTGGTCCTCCTCCTCCCTTAGAGTGTCCACAGCCTGTCCCGTCACAGTTACAGTTACAGCCGGCCTCCCCACTGCCCGCTCCTTCTCCCTACACTGGTCCTACTGGAGGTCTGGCTGAGCGTCGTGAGCCTGCGTCTCGCCCTGCGTCGCCTGTCCGTCTTGCTCGCACTAGTGGTCGTGGTTCGCGTCAGCGTCCTCCTCCTGTCCCTGGCACGCACCGGATGTCTCTGCGTCCGTCCACTGCTCCTCTGCGTGCCCCTTTGCCTTCTCCTCCTGAGTCCTCTCTTCCTGCTCTTCCCGACCCGGAGTCGGACTCTCTTCGTGCTGCCAGTCCTACTGTCACGCGTCTCCTTGCTACTGTCGTCACTGACCCTTCCTTTGAGTCCACTGCTGCGTCTGCCCTAGTTGCTGAGCTCGTCGACTTTGCTGCTCGCTGTCGTCTAGACTACGCTGCTAGTCTTGTCGTTGAGTCTGAGTCTGACTGTCCTCCGTCCGTCGGGGGTGAGTGTGCCCTTGGCACGGACGTCCTTGAGGACAGGCAGGAGGAGTTCCAGTGTTTGGCTGCTGCTTCACCTCATCTCGTGTCCGTACTGCTTACCCCTGAGGGAGACCCGGATGCACTTGACATCCCGACTCCGCGCTCTTACGCGGAGGCGATAGAGGGTCCCTACTCCTCTCAGTGGCAGGCAGCTATGGACACAGAGATGGCTTCCTGGAAGTCCACAGGCACCTACGTTGACGAGGTTCCCCCGCCTGGGGCGAACATCGTCAGTGGCATGTGGATTTTCAGGGTGAAGCGACCGCCGGGTTCTCCGCCTGTCTTCAAGGCTCGTTACGTGGCTCGAGGCTTCAGTCAGCGGCAGGGAGTTGACTACTTTCAGACCTTCTCTCCCACCCCGAAGATGACCACTCTTCGGGTACTGCTGCACATAGCTGCTCACCGCGACTACGAGCTGCACTCTCTTGACTTCAGCACTGCTTTCTTGCAGGGCAGCCTGCACGAGGAGATCTGGCTGCGTCGCCCACCTGGCTTCACTGGGTCTTTTCCTCCTGGAACCCAGTGGAGCCTCCGGCGGCCAGTCTACGGTCTCCGCCAGGCAC